AGATTTATGGCCAAAAAGGGGGATGGGATGATGCTCCCAAACCGGGGCACATGTGAGTTGGAAAACCAAACAGCCCAAAAGGAGAAAAACCGAGCAGGGAAATCCCCCTAAACGAGGCTAACAAATGTAGTTTTGAGTCACATTTGGCTCAGCATCCGACTGATTGTTTAAATAAATGAGTAACTGGCCCCCAGATATCCAACAGTTTTATTGATTTTGTAGTGCAACTTGTCGCTTTCTTCCTTTCCCCTTAAAATCGACAAGTCCTTGATTGATGGCTGGTTAGGGCCTCGTCCTTTTGAGCACATTAATTTACTAAAGAATTGCATTTTACTTTAGTTTCTATGGCCCGCATTTTTCTATCCCCCCACGAAACCTTTTTCTTCTAACAAATAGTTTGCAATTATCCTTTTTGTCATCCCGTCAGAAACTCATCCACTTCGATGAAGGAATCTTCCTACACAACATGTCCAGGGATTTGATTGAGCGACCATATAACCATTTGACCGTCCATTCCTCACACATCTACAGTAAGTTCTGACTAACAAGAAGTGTTGAAATTTGAATTTAAATTAATAATATTAAAGATATTGAAGAAGACAAACTTTTAAGGGGATATCGAAAAGTATTGCATTTCTGACTATGATATATTTTCTGTTAACATGTACAAAAACTATCTTAAAATGTTTAAACAAAGTTTACATACAACATATATCACAATATTAAGGTAAATATAATATATATTCGTATAAAGGATATTGGGTTAAATATCTTTAAATTATAGATATATTAATATCTTCTCCCTCCCTAGTTTAGACTGTTCATCAAAAAGGTATCATCACTGTAACATAAAAATACTTTTTCAAGGAAAAGAACTATATATATATATAAATGTTATTTGTGGTGGGTGTGGTCGCATAATCGATAGTCATAAACATTAGAGCTTTAAATTCAATATCCCTGATGGCTTGGCACTTCCAAAAAAGGACTCGCCCACAATGAGTGAATGCTCCATTGGACATTGCTTATGTTATATAGTATGTGAAGATATTTGAGGGGAAAATATGCTCTGAGAGGGGGTGCAACTTGAATGTGGCAATGTGACACAGTGAATAGAACTAATTTTGCCACTCTCCAGCACATTCCCAAAAGACATGACAGGGCTGACAATGCAATTGAGGGACAGGACATGATGTGATTTCGCGGAAGGACCCATGATAACTTTGTGGAATACAAATGTACTGCAGCTGTTTCCCGGGGTTCGCTTTAATAAGCCTCAAATTATATGGCAAACAGCCGCTCCTTTTTAGTCCTGCCTTCCTGCCCGCAACTTTTTGTTGTTGTTGTTTTTTTTTCCTGCACCAATTTGATTTTGTCATTAAAAAGTTTTTAGCGAAATAATAAAGTTTGTCAGCGCGGAATTTCGAGGACCAAGCAGAAGGAAAAAAGATCGCCAGAAAGGAAAAAGGAAATCACAGTCCAAAAGTGGCCAATGAAAGTTTTTTGTTGGCCAGGACGAAGGACTAGGAAGGGGACAGAGCAAACTATGGACTGTGTGGTCGGAACCGAAATCGTACGCTTATCTTGGCCAAGTCAGAGATGTGTCCAAAACTGGAGAGCAGATATGTAGCAATTTTAAGCGCAGTCAGCTTGGATGAAAATCGAATTTTAAATAACCTGCAGTTTGCCAGCAAAAGTTTAATTGCATTTTTTTTTCCTTTGATTTGATTCAATAAATAAATTGATAACTTTTAAGTGATTCTGTTTTTTATGTGATGAAAATGTTATTGGGGGGGGAAGTGATTTTAAAATTACCTGAGGATATATGTGTATGCCAATTATAGGAGTTTTTAAATGCCATTTAAATATATTTAATTAACTTTTGATGTGGAAATGAAGGGTAAAGTGAAGGTAACAAAGAAATTCATGTTGTATACTCTTATTAATGTATTTAAAAAGGAATAAATACTCCTCAAATGCTAGTTTTCACTTGTCTGGAATTGTGTTTAAATATCTTCAAAGATTCTTCGTAGTTCTGTTCATTGTGATGACATACAGAGTCCGCGGGTTGATGTACATCACTTTTATACCCATTCACTGTACGCTTTATTGAATTATATGCAGGTTGTTCCGCTCTAGATGCATAATTCAATTAGAATGTGAAAGAGTACACCTGCTGGCACATCCTGTGGCCAACGTGACGTATGCGCAATGTTGAGGCAGCAACAGGAGGAATGCGAAAATGGTACACTGTGAGGCCGATGCTACGTTATGAATTACATTTCAATATGCTTCAGCATGTTCATCTTTTATTTAACCCACTTGGGAAGGACTAGCAGGCAGGCATCTGGCAAATGCCAATAAAGGAGCGATCCTTGAGCCCAACTCAGGGACTCGGTTGCAAACAGGATGCCGGAGTGCTTAGCTCCGTTTGCAATTTCCGTTTTGTCACATTTGTCTAACTAAATGGAAATTTATGCAGCTCCTCGGTGCTCCTCGGTCGTCGTCTGCCTTGGCGTTCATTTCTGAGCCTGGTTCCGGAGTGGGTTAATACTTTATTCACGGTCCAGCGCTTAATGAAAGAGTCATTACACTCATTCATTCATTCAATCGTTGATTCATTCATGAGCAGACGAGAGCGCGTGTCCTTTGTTTTTTTTTTTTTTTTTTTTGCCTCTGGAGCTTGTGTTGTTGTCGTTAATTAATTGATTTTCATTGATGCCTCGGTAGCATTAATCATACGCCATGTTGGCCCGTGCCCCTGAAAGACTATTGTTATTCCATCTCCATCAGTCGCTTACTTTGGTGTCTTTCATGGAACTTTTGAGATTGGGTTGGGAGCTATGCAGTTTTCTTTTTTTGTTGTCAAAGTTTTTCATTAACGCTTCAGTAGACAGCAGAGAAAAAGATGGAAGAAAAGATGGAGAGAAAGTTGCATCTGCAGCAAATTGAAAGCCCTTTTTCATACTTCGAGCAGGGGAGATACTGTCATTGTCAGCGATTGAAACCCTAGAAGAAAGAGCTTCGATTTTATTAAATGGCTCTGCATCACTTGATTGCATTAATTTTGCAATTAGGTTTTCCTTTTTTTTAATACTTATTTAAATAATCAAAGAGTACGTTAAAGAGTACACAAATAACGCATAAATGGATCTCAATTTCCTCTGTAATGCAAACTAGAAACCTTTGATTTGCTTTCAATAAATTACCTGAAATGCTTTCAAAACAAAAAGTTATTTGTTAACACTTTTAGTACTCTCCAACATCAAGTTCTTTCTTTAGAATATGCACACTTTTATAATACTTTAAAAAGAGTTCAAAGAAAAATACTTTTCCTTTTAAACACGCTTCGCTGACCCAAAAGAAATTGCAATTTATTCGCATCAATAATTGAATTAGATTCCACGATTAATCCAGTTTAATTGCATACCAGTGAATGCAATAAATTCAAATGTTATTTCGCATTTAAGAGTTTTGTAAACGCAATTAAAACAAATACAAAATAAACAGCCGAGAAATTTGCACTTTGGCCGCTGGGCTTGGCGATGCGTGAATAAATCATTTCCGCAAACAGCAAGCGGATTTTGCATAATAGATGGTAGGGATTTATGTGCGGTAATGTTGCCTAAAATATGCATAACTTATAGGCGGTACACATACATATACATTTATTCATACACTGTTGTAGGAGCAAACCGGAAGCATTCTAATTGTCTCTCAGCCCCAAAAGGCGGCTGCCAACGCAGCTTAACGCGAATCAATTAAATTGGCCTGTGGTCCTGACGGTTTCCTTGCCCAGCTTAGTGGTTGACGTTTTGACAGTTTTATTGTAAGTCATTCCAGTTTAACTGCTTAAGCGGGGACTTATTCTGTGACCCGTTTCTGTTTCAAATAATTACAATTTAATCAAGTATTTCATTGACCCGAATAAAGGAATATTTGGATAAAAGGTCATAAAATTAATTATGGAAGAAATATTTTTGTAAATTAACTTAACTAGTACTTTTAGAGATTCTGAGTTGGAAATATTAAAGAAAGAAACAAAATAATTAATATATTTATTAAACTAAATATTACCTATAAAATAACTTTTTAACAAATTTATTGATACAAATTTATTGGTACACAAAAGTTCCTTTTCCGAAATTAGCTCTCTTTCTTTTTATGTATTAAATGTATACCCTGGCAAGTATTATAATTTTAATCGGAAGCCAGTTCAGATCCTATAAATCATATATATTATTTATCAGTCGTTCTAGCTGTGTCCGGCAAAATTTTTTTTTTTGAAAGTTTCTGAAAATTACAAATTTTATAAGGGGTAAAAATTTTCAAAAATTTACAAAAAAAAATACATAGTTTTAAAATTTTAGATTGAGTATGTAAATGAAATATCCTAAAAAACGTTCCGAATGGAAATTTAAGCTTTTTGTCTTAGTTATGGGTTTTTTAATATGTCTTTTTTATTACATTATTACGTTTAAAAAAAACTTTCTACAACAGTGGCGCCACTATATAAAAAATCTAAAAAGCAATGTATAATGTATGTATAAATAAATTTACATGTCTGTAGAAATCGGTGTAATGTAATGCATGTAAAGTAGAATTCATTGTGGATGTAGAAAATAAACTCAAAATTTAATTCTTAAATTTAAAATCGAAAAAAAAATTAAATTGCGATAAATGGAAAACTTAAGTACTAAATCATATAAGCTTTATATAGAATAATTTATTTATGAAATTAAAGTTGCAGCCCGTTCCTTCAGAATATTCTCAATCTGGATAATTTTAAAAATTTAGACATGAACAGAAGTGAGTTTCAGTCATAAAATAGGAAATAATTTGAATAAAATTGTTATAAATTATCAAAGAATAGGATATATATGACAAGGAAACATTATCAAAATTATATTTACCATTTCTTTATATATAAATAACCCATACTAACCATACCTTTAACTGTCATGTCTTATAAATCCTTTTATTTAAAACAAAGATGATAATTTTGGTTCCATTGTAATACATTAGCAGCATTTTATTAAATACTTGTTGAATTGTGTAGTACATTAATTTCTATAATACGTAAAATCTCAATCACAAGAGAGATTAAATATATATATATATAGCTACATTTGTATATAGGATATATCATACTTAGACTGCTCAAAAATTGTAAATGGCTAGCTAAATGAAACGACGACAACTAATCTTGATCTTGATTAAATTAGTGATGATTTGCAAAATGTACAACCTAGACGTAATTACAAACTAAATTAACAGCTCTAAATTATATCTAGTTTTGGTATTTGTACAAAAGATGCGGGCACAGCGATTGGAGTCCCAAAACGAAACCCCCGAGAGCATATACGTATAGGGGAAATTATACTAATTCAAGGTCCGTCGACATAACAGAAAATATATGGAAATGATGGTAATAATGGCAATGCTAGTAAAGCTTAGGGCGATCTATCCGTGTGGAAGTACGTAGAAATATATATACAAGAGCTATCTATGTACATTAGAAGATTGAATCCAACCATCTCTATTATTGCGTCTTGTTTTCGGCGGATCTTTAAGAGACCGCATCACTTGTAGCTTCCGTTGGCTGCTCCTTGGGCGCCGGCATCAGTTCTCCAATGGCCAACTTACTGGGCAATGCATCCGGCGTGTTTATAATGCCATACGGCCTCAAATGATAGATCAGATAGTCCAACACATACATTTGATTCGGAGAGACGTAGTGGAAGGATATGGCATTGTCCGAGCAGCAGTCAAGGCCCTGAAATCAAATGAAAACAGCTTTACATCTTTCTTTTTCTATAGTTTTCCCCCCGAAAACTCACCTCATCTGTTTTGTAGAAAATGTACTGCCAGTACCAGAACTTCTTATCCGTATGCGCTGGTATCAAATGATGTTCTGGGACGAAGGGAAAGAAGCGACCCTTCCATTCGCATCTCGGGAATCTCCTGCAAGAACCTTGACATTCTGCAAACATTTGCCAATCTCCACATCCTCGGCTCCCGTGTTATCAGCCTTGCAGAGCTTGGGATTGGGCAGAGCCTCGACCACAAAGCGACGCACTGCCTCTCGGCTGAGGACATAACCGGCACCGCCGGACATATAACCCTGCTTCACATACGGCTTGAATTTGCATCCAAAGTAAACCGGAGTCTCGGGATTATAAGGATATAGCATGTATCGCATATTCTCCACTATCGTGTAGGTATCATCGTCGGCCTTTAGGAACCAATCGGCATCATTGATATGGTGCTCATAGATATACTTGTAGGCCTCCTTAGTCTTGCCCCACAGATTGTTACGACCCTCGCCCACGGGCAGGGCCACGGCGTCCAATTCTTCATCCTTGGCAGAGCTCATAAAGATCAGCTTATTGCAGCGTTTCCCCAGGTGCGTTTCACGTGTCGCGCCTTCTTCTGGTGATTACTTGGACTGGTCATGATCCAGCAAAGTACTCGTACTTCGCCATACAGACGCTCCGCAATCGTGGAGTTCTCATGGGCGTGCTCATGGGTGCCCACATCCTGTTCCGGTCCCGTCAACTCCAACATGTCGTGACTGTGGTGGGCATCGTTAACATCGCCATGTTGGTGGCCATCATATGGCATAAATTCACTGCGCTCCGGTGTGGAGGAGTAAACGAATAGCTCCGCCAGACAGAAGCCCACCACCAGGCCAAAAATAAGCGACACAAATGAGCGCTTATTCGAGCGGCCTGTAAATATCAGTATATATATTAATTATATATTAATTATATATTAATTATATATATAAACTATTTCTTACTCACCTTCATTAAGTATGGACCTTCCCAGCAAACTATTGGCAGTCATTTGGCTTTAACTTTAACTCTTGCGGGTGTGAAAGGAACTTTTGGTTAAACTTCTGAGGATCTGAACCTGTAGCTTCTTTGGTTGCGGGGGGTAATTCCACTCGAATTTCGCCTTACATCTTCTGCAAAAATTGACAAAAAATAAGAGGTACTCCCTTTAGTGAGGCTTATTATGATGATGTGTGCTCACGTCAGTCACTCGATCTGTAGTGTCAACAACTATCTGAAAATTGTGCTGGTTCTGCTCGGTCGAAGTTTGGTTCGGCCTGGCCGAACTGTGCTAATCTCATGCAAAACGTGACAATTGCTACTCTTCGTAATTGCATTCTCCGGCTGCGCGTTGCTGATAAATATTTATTGTTCTTCTGTTTTTTTTTTTAGTTATACTTATTTGCTTTACTTCATTTTGTACGTGGCTGTGAGTGTGTGTTTTCCCGGTTTTTTGGAGGGCTTCTCTTTCGAGATGACTGCAATATTGAAATTGACTTTTTTGGCTTACGTAAAGCAAGTGTCTGCAACAAGTTTGGCTATTTTCGAGCTTGTGTCGTAAAACTAACAGACAACATTAAAATCTAAACAATTCGCATGTTTTTTCCATGCGAAGAGCAAATAGAAAAGCAATTACACTTTTGACACCATAATAAAGATGATTCTGTTCGGTTTAAAGACTTTGTTTAGTTGGAAACTAACGTGTCGCAAGTCGCTGAGCAAATCAAACACAAGTTGAGGGTGAATTAACTAATTACCTGCCTAATTAATGTTAATTTATAAAGTATATTTATGTTAAGAAGTGCTTAGAATATATTGTTAGCAAGCTTGTTAACCAATTTAAGGATTGAGTGAAGCTATTGGTAAATATTCATTGGGGAATTGTATATTTAATAAGGTTAAGATCAACATAAACTCTCCAGACTTCAAGTTCATTACTTTTCGCTTGAAAATATGTTTCTTTTCGCTTTTATTAACATTTACCAATCAATATCAATTCATTCAAATTCGATTATTTAGCGCCACATTGATTAGAACACTTAAATCTTTGCTTTAAGCAAGCAAAACTCTTTATTTCGGATCGTCTTTAGTCGTTGTTTAGCAAATACCTCGTTTAGCACTCACTTATTAACTTTATTTGCATGGATGAAACAATAACTTTAGTAATATTATTAAAACAAAACAGCTGCGACAACAGATTGTGGCTTAAGCAAATCAGTTTTAAACCTGAACAAGACGACACCTTGTCAAGAAATGCAGGCAGAAAGCCAAAATACCGAGTTTTTGAAGCAAAATACATTCAGTTCTGGGCTTCATTCTCTTTTGTTTAATGCAGTTCTTTCAACTCAAAAGATAAATAAAAGCAGAAAAACACTTATCCATATCTAGAGCCCTGTCTTACTCCGATATTTATAGGTCTTTACATAATAATCTTGGATTTCCGGTGATTCACATGAGTTTGTTAGTTTGCCACTCCTCATTTGCAGAGCTTCTTATCATTGGGCCTCTATTCAAAACTTATCTACAGCAATAATTACTCATTATCATCGACTCGCCCGGGTTTTAATCTCTTTTTGGGGGTCAACTTCAGTCGGCATGATAAGTTTTTCGTACTGCCCATTATATATATATTAGCAAAACTGATTTCACTGAAGTCGTTCACTTTTTCATACTCCAAATGATTTCTTGGTAAACTGATATGGTTATCAAGTAGGTAAGAAATCAATTTAGTTGGTTAAAACTTTCAGACATTTTCCTATCTATATTTAACTACACATTATAATCAAAATGATGATATCAGAAAATGAAAAAAGGCAACAACAGATTTTAATTGTTTGGGAAACACAAAAGGCCAAAAGAGTTTATAAAAACTGTTGCTTTTCCGTGTTTTAATTGTAAAGCCAGTTCAGTTATTTCCTGGTCCCTTTATTACCAGAGATCACTGTACATTCTGGCAGCTTTTGCTTTGTAGTAGTTTCTGTTTGAGCAGCTGGCCAATCTTAACGTCATAGATATCTCAATGGCTGATATATTATTCGTTTTACAGACGCGCTTTGAGCTCATTTTTAATTCGGTTATCCAAGTGAAAAGTGCGATAATAAAATATGATATCATCGAAGATACAGGTGCCCTGGTCCTCCAGTAAAGGTCTCTGATTAGTGTCCCTCTCTTAGAAACTAGATTTTAACAAGGCTTTCCCATTTCAGTGTCACTGGGTCAACTTGTATTGACTTTTCTACTGGGATTCATAGTGTTTCTTGTCCTGGCTAAACTCGTATCCGTTCCTCTGGAAATCGATGACTTTGATACCTTTCGATTTAAGAGCGATGATGCTCCATTAGCAGTAGGTCAAGGACTTGGGCAATCTGAGATGAAACCCTGAACACTGCCTGTTCTAGGAATGTTCTCAATTGGCAATCGTGACAAGTCAAAAACCCACTCAAATGTGGGGGCGAAACGGACCTAAAATGTTTGCTCGACTCGCAAGTTGCAATTGTAATTGCAAATTAATTAAATTTAGGCATGCCTCCAGCTTCGCCGTTCCAATTCAGTGTGCAATTTGCAATTAAACGCAATTTAACAGCATACATATTTGCCCATCATTGTTGCCGACTGGAAAACTTGGACTGCAAAGCTGGAAGCTTGTGATTTGCGTGTGTGGCGAATGCAAAACAAAGATGCACAATCTAAACCAAATATTTTACATACAGATAGTCTAATTTTAGTTCCATTGCCATCGTAAAATTATTCACATGCACTGCAGGTGAACAAAAAATAGAAAATTATACAATTATAACTTTATTTTATAACACGAATATGAACTCATTTGCCAACGTGCCTTTAATTCAAGCAATTTTATTTGAATTGTTCAACATATTTGATATCCATAGTGATTCTTTTTTATACAAACAATTACGCTATCATGTCGTTATCATTGAAAATTATGATATTATAGTGATGCTAGGTCTGGAAATTAAAAGAAAACACCTCACCACCTTGAGTGCGCAATGTTTAATTAGATTCTATTAGAGATAAGTTGTTTTAAGACTAGTTTTATGGTTCAAGTTAATCTAAATTGTGGCTTGTATAATATAGCGTGATGACCCAGAAAACAACATATCTTGAAGTCGAATTTTACTCAAAATACACAACATAGTCTATGTATCTTGGAATTTATAGGAATTTGCCATAAAAAAGGTGATGAATGTTCTATTTTAAGATACATTTCTTCTGTATCTCCAAAACTTAAGTGATTTTTTCCGCTTTCAATCACATTTTTTGAAATTTAATTAATCTACAACAATCTATTAAGTTCCATTTTTAACTAGAACAATTTCGAAATAACCCCAAATGGACACTGAAGCATCTGTTTGTTAAAAGGTAGTTAAAATTAATTTATTATTATTATGTCATTCGGTTAATAGAATTGCTATTTTTACGGACCTACACTTAACTTATATATTAGCGTGACAGTGAGTGCACTTTGAACAAAAGGCAAAAACCGAACCAAATACCAAATGAAAAAGCAAACCAATTGTCAAATTGTTTTGTTAGGCCTCTGTTCATCTGCGGGCAATAAAATCAGCCACGCTCGGCAATCCCGTGAATGTTTCAATTCTATTATTGTTTTTATTTTTCAACCCAATAGGAATTCTTTATTCGAAACAAAAATGCCATAACATATGTGGCACATTTGAGTTTGAGTTCACTTTCAGCGACTTCCTTCTATTCATTTCCAGATAAACAATAAAGCAGCCACAATTGTTGGTCGCTGGTTATCAATGTGGAACTTTAACTGCTGGTAATTGTTATCGGGCCACAAAGACGAAATGTGGCCTGCATCCGTTTTCAGAAACTCAGTTGTTTTGTTCAATCAGTTTGTTGTTTCACATATGTAAAGATCTATCTCTTAACGAGAACTCGTGTTTATTAATTTGGGGGAGGATAAATTGTTTGCAATTGTAAATTTACTTTATCAATAATAAAAGTGGTCGTGAAATTCTGGTAGCTACAATGTAACACACAATTTCCCTTTAAGTTTTCAATAAATTTTATTTAATACCACGTTAAACTATCTAAAAGTCAACTTAAATCAATTTATTTTCCTGTTCGTTTTATTTAATTGACAGTTAGGTGAGCGAAAAGCTTTGCCAGAAACCTGTTCTAAACTGTTAAAATTAATAATCAACGCGTTTGTAAACAGACAATGACAAAGGTCGCTTTTGGTTCTTAATGAAATTGTCTGCTGATTGATAAATAAAAGAAATCTTTTCAGTTAGTTCTTACGTTGAATTTCTGGATTGGTACAAAATTTAAGGGTTATTGTTTGGATTTTACCTTGGGGGCTTTAGAGCTGTTTAAGACACATCTCTTTCGAATACAAAGCTTCCAAGTAACAAACGAAATGACCTGAATAAAATTGGAATCTTTCGAGACTCATTTTCAGGTCATTAAAGTGCAATAAAAACGTATCCAGTAACATCTTTTTAATGCACTTTTAAATCTTAAAGTGATCAAGGCTTGTGTCAACCCCTTTGAGATACAATTTCACTTGAGGAAGCCTCCCCCTTTAGGAAACATTCTCCATCACGAATCAGCAGCTAAGCTGTCATTTCAAGTACTCCGTTAATAAGTACGTTGATAATGATTGCAATGGAGCTGAAGGGGTTAAAGGTGATCGAATGCAAAATACCCTACTTTTGTAAAGAGAATATTTGAAGAAATCAATTTATTTTTTGGAATTAATTTTTATACCCTTGCAGGGTATTATAATTTCAGTCAGAAGTTTGCAACTCAGTGAAGGAGGCACCTCCGACCATATAAAGTATATATATTCTTGGTCAGGATCAACAGCCGAGTCGATCTAGCCATGTCCGTCTGTCCGTCTGTCCGTCTGTCCGTCTGTCCGTCTGTCCGTCTGTCCGTCTGTCCTTCTGTCCGTCTGTCCGTTTCTACGCAAACTAGTCTCTCAGTTTTGAAGCTATCTGAATGAAACTTTGTAGTTGGCCTTCTATATACTCTCACTCGTATATATGTCGGAACGGGCCGGATCGGACGACTATATCATATAGCTGCCATAGAAACGATTAAGACAATTAAAAATTATAACATTATCAGTTTTCAACAGATTTTCATCAAATTTGAGGTATAGCCATTTTATATTAGTCTTAAATTTTGTGTCAAATTTCATGAAAATTTGACGACTATATCAAATATGTAGAATTTCTATCTGCAAGGGTATATAAACTTCGGCTTGCCGAAGTTAGCATCCTTTCTTGTTCTAGTTAGATTTAGGTATTTAGAGAATGTTATATACATTTTTAAACGTTTTCTCTCTCTCTTTAAAAATGCACTGCACTTGTGCGATAAAATTGTCATTTTTAGTTCCCTTTTTTTTTTGTTTACTTATACAAATTGAATTCAATTGCATTAGTTATTCCAGAGATGCCACAAAAATCATTGTGTTTAATTGCAATGGTGTCTAAAAATATACTACAATGGATTTTATGACATTTTCATATATATATGGAATGTTTCTTATACAGATAAAAAATGAAATTAAAAAAAAAAATACCCTTGAATTTTCACACTTCCTTTTTCGCCAGTCAGACACCCTGCAAGCTGTCTAGAACTCTGAATCTCTATTACTCACTGCTGTTATCAGTGCCACTGCAGTTGATCAATCAGGGGTGCAATCTGCATACGAATTAAGTACAACAATAACAACAACGTCTAATCAGAGAGGCGTCACATGTAACATATGTACACGTACAGGCAGAGAGACGGAATTGGAACCACAAATAAATTAAAGTAAATGCATTTCGGCTGCAGACAATTCACCCCTGGAGTGCAGAGGGGGGTGGGCGGGTGAAAATGTGCACATAACGCGACAACCGACAGCAACAACGGAAATGACAACTAAAGAGAGAGAGAGAGGGAGAGAGAGCCGGAGAACAGGCGAAGAAGAAGATGGCAAAGGAGACGGAAAGGGCAGCTGTTTGAGAATGTCAGCATATTAAAAATAAAAACAACAACAACCACCAGGATAAGGTATGACGAATAGGGATCACGCTTCCCGTCTTGAAATATATTCAAATGATGTGAAATATAAGGGTTTTTCAAGTATTTGTGAGGGTAATCACTGTATTTTAACAATGTATTTTATATTTATATATTTTATTAATACTAAAATATGAAATATTTCCTTTCTTATAAATTCTCTATGCTTTTTTTTACCATTAAATTAACGCCGAAGCCTAAAGTGCTTTTCTGAGAAACCTAAGCTCGTTTGTTTTGCACAGGGATAAAGTATATATTCCTTGAGATCCCTTCATAAGCACGTAGCACTCTGCGTTGTAGCGAAATAAAACTGGTTTTGGTTAGAGGCAAAAATGAATATATATTTTTTTTTAATTTTAATTATGACTTCACAAATTTAGACGGAATGGAAAGAAAGGACCGCATGTCTCTGATTCATTATTTCACTTTGACCGACAAAATATTGACTTTTGCTACAGTTTACAGTTAACAGTTTACAATGCGCATTGTATTTATTGTTATCGTTCTTTCTTAGCTTTTATCGCGCTGCTCTTGCACTTAAATTTTTTTGTTATTCATTGCGTTTTTGTTTTGATACAAAATATAGTATTTGCTGACTCAATTATTTTGTGTTTCGTTTAGTTTTCGTTATGTTTCACTGAACTGCAGCTGCCGCGGCGCTCTTTTACTTACAAAAATTGATTTTTTGCACAATTTCTCACATGTTCTTCAATCGCAGGACGCCTCAAAAAACCAACGATTTGCACTTTCAACTGGCGACTGCACTCACGTTTCGCTTTGCCAATTAATTGCTCGGCGTGTCATTCGAGCAATGGAATTGCGTTAATCGAAATATTTAATTAAACTTATTTTCCTCCCCTTCTAAACGAGCGTAGAGCTAAACATGAGCGAATGCGACGAGTTGAAAAAAAATTCTGCCGCGAAATTCTATAGCTGAGCAGGAAACTACCGCAAAAGCCAACGAAGAGAGTGGCAAACACTAAGAGAGCGCATGCCCTCTCTTCTCTTCTATTCTCTTCTCTTCTCTTCAATACCCAGTTGTACTTTTCATCATTAATTCTTTGTTCTTTTCATATGGAATCGCTCAGGAGGTTGCTGCTGGTCAGAAAAGCTACCGCTTAAAAAAAATTTTAAAATGAAAAATTAATTTTAAAATTAAATTTTCAATTTTTGTGAAATCAATTTTTGTAAAATTTATATTTTATTTAAATTAATATTTCAATCTATTAAAGATTGATGAAATAGACATGAACAAAATTAAAATAAATTAATACAAAATATTTTTGCACCTTAACTAATATTGAGTTTTAGCTAAATATGATATAAATAAAATTTAATATCAGTTGTAAATTGTATTCTTGAATAATTTTACAACATTTCTTAATGTAACCATTTGTGAAAATGTAATAAATCAATTAAACATTTCAAGTCAACAAGATTTAATTATGATTTCTTTACTAGTGATAATAAATAAGAACTTGTCATAAACCCAAGGTCCTACCTCCTAAGCGTTTCTGTATGAAAAGTAAATAGTTTTTCATGTTTACTGGGTAGTTTTCTTTGCGCAGGCGGTAATCCGGGGGTGAAGCAGTAACAGAAAGAGAGATGGCCAATTGCCGGCTGCAACATTGTCGCGAGAGAGAGCATAAGAGAGCGTTGATAAAATGGATGATTGGGAAAAGACTATTAATAAATATTTTTGATAAGTAGAAGAGATCGTTAAAGAAATGTACACATTCATATGTTACATACATATATAATAGATATTTTAATACATGCGTTAAATGGTTTATATTTGCCCAAGATTTTATATTGCCTCCCCATCAAGCATTAGCTCGCAGTAACTGAAAACAGCTGTGGAAAACTGTTGTCTAGGTTAAGGGTTTCTTTTAGGCCGGAAAATTACCGGGTGTTCTCTTAATATTATAGAGAATACTCTCTTATGGAAATTTAAATGCATTCCATTTATTTTCAATTTTATATTAAAAACTTAACAATCATTTTATAACCCTGGATTAATTAAGTATTATATTATTTTTATCAAATTTATAAATTGTATAGTAATATAACTTTTGTAGTTGGGCAACAAAATATTTGTTATATTTTGTTCTGGTCGACTTTCGAAACAGTAAGCTTTATCATATAACGATTCGCTATCGATCTTTTATGATAAGATATTGCAAACGTCCTTATGAGTACTCAGTAACTGACAAATATGATAAGAAAAGTTTGCGCAGTCAATTAGTCAGATAATAAACGTCAAGATGTTTTCACACCTCTAAATGAAAATGTATTGTGGTCCTTAAAAGCAACTATATTGAATTATTGAAATAAGTTTTTGTTTTGAAAATTTTATTATGATTTTGATTGTGTATTAAAGTTGAGTTTATGTTTCCAGAAATAATAATGGTATCAATAAAAGCCCATTTGAGCATTTATAGTTTTATATTGAAAACAAAAACCTGAGTGGTTAAAGGTGCTTTGTTTTAGGCCAGAAACAATTGCGGTCATGGTATCTGAATGAGGTATTTTTCAAATTAATACAAAGTTATCATTACATTAAAATAACATAAAGAAAGTTAATTTTGGTTTATATAATTCTTATAATGCAATTTATATTATTGGTTTATATAATTCTTATATTGGAAGTTTATAGAATTAATTGCAAATAAATTTTTTGTTGTTTAATTTTACATTTTACCCATGTGTAATTTATACATAGTGCGTAGAGAAGATCAGTTAGGACAACAACCAATTTGGCTGTGTGATAATTTACTGGTTGGGAAAAACTCTAAGTTTTATGGTCATTTTTCAATGCTATAAATATATTAAAGAACTATAATTATTTATCGAACATCTTTGAAAAGATCAAATCCTTAAAACTCATAACTAAGCCAAAAAGTATTTATTTTAACTGGAAAAGCTCTCTCGTGTTGGTTTTTATGAGGTTAATAAATCTGCATACTCCATTTAAAATTTAAGAAAATTCAAATATTTTGATCATTTTGATAATTTTAACAATTTTAAAATTTTGAAAAATTTCGAAAATTTATTTTTTTGACTGGAGATGGCTAGATTGGCTCGCCTGTCGATGCTGATTGATAATATATATTATTTATAGGGTCGGAAATGAGTCCTTCAAATAATTACAAGCTTCTGACTAAATTTAACATAATTAATTATAAAAATAACAATAATTTATAGTTATCTATGGATTTATGTATGTATTTAATCGGATGAATCCATTTCTTTTTAGTACTGAAACTGGAACCCCAATAAAAATACTATTTATATTTATTATATCAATTTATTTACTTGACTTACTACAATTATTTCCGGTTAGCCTAATGAGACTAATGCTAATCCAAGGCACTTTGTTTGCGCGACATATTGAACGCCATAATCCGACAGACTATAAAGTTATTGATTCATTTCTGATGACAATGTTATTTTCCATTCATTTATTATGCCAACTGCAGGCAGACATTTTGTGTAAATATTAGCATTATTCCCGTGTCAGAAAATCAGAAAATAAAATAACGAGTCACAAGCAAGCGCCCAGCAAATAAGAATTTGACTGGCTGACTTGTGTGTGAATTAATATAAAATAAAAAAAATCAACAAAATTGTTTTCTGCTCTGAAATTAGAGACCACTGAAGATATGTTGCTCTATAATTGTGCCTAAGGAAAAATATCTGCTTTGGAAATAACTGAGAAAACTAAATTATGGCTTTTTCTTTTCCTTTGTGGGATTGTCGTTGAAATTTATGTACAAAGAAATGCGAAATTTAAGGTTTAGCTGGAAAATTAGCTTAATAATAACAGAAGAAATGTGCTTAACTATTAATATCAATAAATTTACATAGTTTTGTTATCCTTAACTCATTGAGGTCAAAACAGAAATAATTTGAGTCTCGTTTGTCGATAAGTACTACAGTTACCACTTAAATGTAACTTATTCTATTAGTATTTGTACAGGATATACAAATTATATGTTTTTCTATGCTTCTTAAATAAACATTTAGTATTTGTAGACATTTAAATGCTTGCGTCTTAGGCTACAGATTATTGATTATATTCTGTGAATTTCTAAATATGATTTGTTCAGACTATTCATTTCGCGTGTGTATAATCGATATTGAATCCTATGGCTACTTGAAAAGCTCTCTCGTTTTGTTTGCGTCTATATCACCCAGTTACCTCACTATAAATATCACAAGGCTCCGTTGCAACGGATGGGGATTCAAGAGGACTACAGGAAGGAGCAGCACAGGATCAGGACGAGCACAGTGATGGGGAAAAGGGCATAGATCTCACTACGCGGATGGCAGGTGGATATTAAATTGGTTATGTCATCCTCCTCATGCTCGATGCCATCTCGCGTGGGAACCTCAACCACCACGATCTCATCCGATAGGAAACTAATGTTAAAAGTGCAATTTGTGGTATTCAGACAACTCTGAGACTCGCTCAGATTAGAGTACTGATACGTCGGTTTATATATATCAAATATGGCATGGATCTCATTCCGCACATGATCGTTGTCGCTGTAGAAATGTAATAGTAATACGCATCATCGGTGACATTGTGCACGGCCAGGGAGCTCCGATTGCTAAAAGTATCCATAACGTGGGGATTGGAGCACTCGTTGCTCGGCCGGAAGAACTCCTTTAGCAGGATCATTCCACTGAAGCAATCCAGTAATCCCGTCTCAAAGCTGGACACCGAATTGGACTCATCTGTTTCCGTAAAGTTAATGGCATTTCCGCCATGAACATACTTCCTATCGTAGACATTCTCCCGCTTGGATCTCTGGTAGAGTTTCTCGTAGAGCTCCTGCCTTCTCTGATGAGCTTGGGTTCCTGCCATGTGTCTCCTTGGGCGATCTCGATGGGATCCTTCGGGGGCTGCTCATCCGTAGCTCCATCTGCTGAGGGATGCTGATGTGTTGCCGCCTCAGAATTGTGAATATGATGATGATGACCATGCTCAACGATCTGTGCTCCAGTGTTCTCCATTCCCAAGTGCACATCGTGATCGTTATGATGAATGGTGCCCTTTTCAGTTTTTTCCTTATCAGTTTGGGCGTTGTTCCTGTACTAACTGGCTTTGAAGATATATTCACAGAAGGTTGCGCATGATCCTCGCTTAAATCCTCGCCTCCATGATTCTCATGTTCCATTAAAACATCCTGATTGCTCTTCTCCTCGGTGATCTCCACATTATCCTCGAAGAACACCTTGACCTCTTCATGAACATTGGGTATTTTGGCACCCATTTGTTCTTATTGTGATCGGTGAGACCGCACAGGTTAAGCTGTCGCTGACCCTTCACGATAAGGATACGGAACCATCGTAGCGGGAACAGAACTTGACCCTCACATTGGCTCCTTTCAGCAGGAAGAAACCCCAGTATTCCAGGGTATCATCAGGCAGGGTCATTGACTTCTTCAGCCTGATGTGCTTGCGATTTGTGGAAATCTCTGGCTTATTGCGCAGCTGAAAGGCATTAAAGTTGGAGTTCATTCGCAGAGTGTGCTTCGAGCAAAAGATTGACGAGATTCCGGCACGAATCTCAATGATGTCCGACTCTGCCATGGGATAGATAACGTCCGCGAATACAGTTTTCCGCAAATGCAACGGCATAATGATCAGAACGGCCGGCAGTATCACAATCATCAGGCAAAAGATTAGCACCCGCTTCACTCCGTGCATCTTGCGGGTTTCTGGAAAAGAGTGTGGAAAAAGAAAAACAAGTATTACTATCAGAATCAGATAAGTTAAGGGCCTGAGATATATATATTTGTTTATTTTAACCAATCCCCAAGTGTGGCACCTTCAAAGTGATATTCCGTCAGGGGCTGCATCTTGGTGGCACAGGATTTTTCCTTGGAA